TTTTTTTTATACCAACCATAATTATTTCTCTGAGACTAGTCGACTCCGATATTTCTATAAGCTTCAACTTTTTTAGCCGAATCGAATCTAAATTCTTTTTCCACCTGCTTAGCTTATGTTGCCAACTGAACTACAACCGTTGGATTCTCATGTTATTTAATATGATTATGTCATGTGAGAGAATCCTAACTATTCAAACCAATGCCGGTTGATCTTGTCGTTCTCTATCCCAACAATTTTTTTCGCTCATCTCACATCACCATTGGTGATTTGTTTATGAATAGTTACAATTTATATGTGATATATATATTATCCGTCGCTTCATCAATTATTCGACTAGTCCGATTAGAGTCGGGTAGGATCACGTGAGTGACAAAGCTTTCCTTAACAAGTTTTTAACTCAAGATTATGAAAGACATAATACAGTCAAAGTAGAAACTGATTCAATGCATATATATACCTTGAGAGTTCCCAAGCCATAGAATTCAACCATCTTCCCGGTAGGAGCATGTCCCTTAAAAGGACCCTCAAAGATGCCCCAGTGCCTAAACTTGAAGGCAATTTCAGGGGGTCCAGTAAAAACTTTGATCACTTCCCATGCAAATCCGCGAGGAAAAGCTGATCTGAAGGCATCATGAGATGATTCAAAAGTCTCTTCATCAGCTTTGTAATACTTGAATTCATCTGGCAGGGAGCTTTTCAACAAAGCATTATAACTTCCCAAGCTTAGAGTTTCCTCTCCAGATAATCCCTCCCTCCCTGCATATGTTACATGTGAAAATATTTGATTATATTGAACATCTATATTTTCAATACAAATATTCCAAAAAAGTCTTCAACAAATGGAAAAAGAAAAAGAAATTTGATTCAATTATTATCTGTTAGCTAATTCACCTCAAAAAACAAATATTTTTTTGCCTAAAATGTTCAAAGATTTGTATTCTCCGAGGATAAAAAACCCATGTCCAATTGAAGGTTGTCAGCTACACTCAACACTTGATCATAACTTTCTATCGGTATATTTATTATACAGGTCTAATCTGGTTTAACGTGTTGAACCAATCATTTAGTGATTAAATCAATAACCCATTAATTCATTGTCCTAACAAAGTTAATGACCTATCCGAATTTAATAAAATTGTGTAACAGTGAAAAATAATTATTTGGAAAGAGTAGAAAATAATATTAATGTAAAATGAAGTTTTTGTCCTCTAATAAAAGTGAAAAATAAGTTGTATAAGAGGTCCAGCCAACCACCAAACACATGGATTAACTGATATGAAATTGTTTCAGTTTAATCGGTGGTCTTGAATTCAAATCCTTAAGAAGCAATTGTGTTAAAAACTTGGTAAGAAAATTTTTGCCACTTATATGATCTTACCCAACTCGAATCAGACTAGTCGAGTAATCGATGAAATAATAGATAATATATATATATAAACAAAAAGCGCAGCTCACGAGTCTAGAACATGTCTCTTTTTGGAACAGGCAAAATCTGAAGAGATTAATACTTGGGAAAACTTTATCCATCACCTCCTTAGTAGTCAATCAAATATTCGGAAAAAATAGAGAATAGCGATAACATACTAAATCATAACATCTACCAAACCCGAAATTTATGAGGGGAAAAGAAGGAGTGGAAACAAAATTTGAAACATGTTTAAGCACTGCTTACCATTAACAAAGATCTTAAACTTTTCAGGATTTATGGTCTTGAAGTCCTGCAAACGGGTCTTGTGGGAGAGCTCCATCTCCCATGATTTTATGGCGTTCTGCACTGTCTCCTCTAATGATCCTTCTGGCCATTCCTGCAAATATACAAATTTTCAGTGACCCTATAATCTATCTAGAGAAAAAGCATAAGCAAAAGAGCATATATATATACACACCTTGGTTCGGCCTTCTTCAAAGAGCTTGTTGACATCATCATAGGTGGGTGGTCCACCATGTCTCCACTGGGTTGTATCTGCCTCATCATGTAAGAAAGATCTGTATTTGTCAGATGGTATTTCTTGGGTAGCCATCTCAATTTGTGGGGGAGCTTAGACACAAAATGGGAAGTATAAGAAGACGGTTATCATGCTGTACAACATAAGGAGTTTATATAAACACCGACCTCATGTCCTTATCTTGGAAACATAATAAGATAAGGTTTTCCTTCTATTTCTTTCTGGGTTTAATACTTTATATTGTATTCTTCTGCGTATATATAAAAATATGTGAAATGCATATAGACTCATGTGAGAAGAGAGAGAAAATGAAAAAACATAAATCTCATATATTTTTATATATTTATAAAAGATATATTTTGTAAGAACCCGCACCGTTAATTAAAGAAGTTAATTAATTAATTATGTGAAATTAGGAAATAATTCCATAATTGACCATAATAATTATTATGAGGCTTAAATAATTATAGAAAGTGGTTCATAATGCTGAAAGTCACTTTTTTGACGAAAAGTGCAGATACCGGTTCTGCTAGTCGGTATAAATGCGTACCAAAAAAGTATCCCGGAAAATTATAATAAGTGCATGATAATTCCTAGAATAATATATAGGACTTGTGAAACGAGTTTCAAGTTAAGATAATGAGAACTGGTGCCAGAAACTGATACTGGCTATGAAAAGCGCCTACCAGAAAGGTGCTCCGAAAAATAAAATAAAAATATGATAATTCTTGTAAAATTGAGTAGGTTAAGAATCCTGAGTTTGGGATTAATATGCTAAGCGTAGCAATTAAAGTTAATACTGTGTGTTTATTTCCTAAGTAGTTATATATACTTAGTGGCACATAATCTTAGGGCATATTTGTGCCTTCTATGTGAACCTTGCTGAAGCCTTGTGACCAGCCACCTTGCTACTCCTCTTCTTCTCCATTTTCTCACCAAAGACACCACCTTTGATCATTGTTTCTCTTCTTGATCAAGTAAACACTTGAGTGTGAGCATGAGAGTGTGCTAAGGGTACCTTTTCTGAGTTGTGAGGACTGCCTTGTGAGGTGTTCAGGGGCTGCGTTCTTGGGTTGGGTTGTGTGGGTTGTCTTCTTGGCTTGTGGAGCTTCAAGAAGTCTTCTTTGTGAAGAAAGGGCATAACTTGGTTGTCTTTTTCGTTTTTGGCAAAGTCAGAACTGTGAGGAGCCATTGGTGAGCTCCAAGAGCACTCCTTTCCTCTGTTTTAGCCTTGAGGTGAGTTGCCTAACCTTGATCATTAGTTTTAATGGGTTAAAGTTGATGTCTTGGCATGTTTCTTGAGTTAAACAAGTAACCCACTGGTTTGTGGACCTAAAACAGAATTAAAATGCATGCTTTGACGTTTTAAAGTGTTAAAAATGGAACCTTTGAAGGATATCTTCACGAAATGCAGAACTGCATTCTGTCGTGAAATATCCGGATATGGATATCCGGATATTGGTATCCGAATATGATATCCGGATATTGGGTCTTTTGATATGCGAATATGGATATCCGGATATGATATCCGGATATTGATATCCGGATATGTCCCTGACAAATATCCAGATATTCTGGGTTTGCGAAGAACAATAGCTTACTGTTCATCCAGAACTGATGTTTGTGGTTTGTGGACCCTTGTTTGAGGAAGATGAACTTCTGTAATAATTGAACTAAGTCAGAATCAAGTGATTAAGGGCTTGTGGCATGTGTGAAGCCTTAAGACGTAAGAAAACACGTTGTCTTTATGTTATATTCTTGCAGAGTATGATTGTTGATATACTATTGGTCCATAACAGATTGTGATTCTGTTGTGTTTGGACTTTGAGCTGTGGACTCTTGGCTTGGATTGTTAGCTTGCAAGGTAAGCTTTCGTGTCCTCGGTTTAGCCATGTTGTGGTTCCACCATGTCCCATGGGGGTATGGTTATATGCATGTTGTGTTACATGCTTTGGATATTTTGAAATACTATTGAGCTGTTATATGCTAGTGCCTTTATGATATGCATGTGGTGTTCCACCTATACAGTAAGCCTGAGTATGTGGTACATACATGATGGTGAGGCTGTGGGTGTGGTGCAAGCGGTGTTCCTTGTACTACGTGTGGGTAATAGACGTATTCCTGCATTTCTCTGACCAGTAGAATAGTTTAAACACACATGGCATGAATATCTGTTGCACTGCATAGTTTTGAGAACTTATATTGAATTACTACTTTTTTAGAACTTATATTGCACATGTAAGTGAGCTTGGGGTGGAAGATCCTTGAGGACCCCTTGTTTTATTGAGATTTCTTGTTTAGAGATCTCACCCCACGTTTGGGAGCGCTTATTTCAGGTTCAGGTAGTATGGGGGATGATGCCTCTGGCGGCAAGAGGCCGGAGATCAGTCGATGATATTGTTGTTTATTATGCTGACATATTGGATGTTGGATATTCTGCTGACGTTATGTTTTTAGTTGCTTTTATTATGTTGTTGATGTTGAGACTTCTGTTGGGGCTTGTGCCTTATTTGGGTGAGCATGGGGTTTGTCCATGCCATTTTATGTTAGTACCCTGAGTTGAGTTGTATAACTTAGTAGGTTGTCCGGTCTACGTGTAGTAGTTCCGTGACTAGAGACTTATATCTGTTATTTTAATTAATGAGATATTTCAGTTAGCTGTCTTTTGCAATTTACATACAGACATGGTTTTATTTAATTGATTAATTAAGCAAGTTGGTAATGATAATGACGTCATAATTGAAAAGAAAAAGATATTCCGCATTTTTAATTAAGCGCAGCTTAATACGATGATATGATAACATTACCGGATATATACGAGGTGTTACATATTTATTTTTTACAATATGAAAAACAATATACTCTTTCTTAAATGAGAATATTATTTCTCATATTGGATGAGACAAAAATAAATAAATGGAATCCACTAAGAAGAAGAAAGAGAAAAGAAATAAGTTTGTGTTACATAAAACTATTTATCTCATATAATATGACAAACAACTTCTTAAAGAAATAAGTGGCTTCACTCATGCCAATGGGTTCCACTAGGGTAACAATTTTAAGATCACACATTGTAAATCAGGGAAATTTTCCGCCCCGTATACAAGCCTCTTCCTCTCTGATAAAAGGGATTTATGCTTCTCCACCATTGCTACCAAGTTGTCGCATTCAATTCTCAGAATCAATCCCCTTATGTCCTCACTTCCCCACTACTCGGCTTAGTTCGATATTTGTACCTTTAGTCCAAGCTATCGAACTCTTATCCTCCATGCTTTAGGCTCTTTAGCCCATTGTATATTAAGCATTTTATCCCCTTCGTGGGTTGACACCTCATTTTCAAATCCACTTCAGATCATCTACTAAAAAAAACATCAAAATCGAACACTGCTAGCGTAGATGGAAAATTCAACCAATGTCAAAATTAACAACAATACCAACAACATTTTTTGTTGAACCTTGAAGGTTACAAAGTGAAAGAATTTTAGTTTCGATGATAACAAAGTACAAGCAAGCATAATATAAAAGACAATGCAACAAGCCTCAAATGATGAAGAAAGAGAAGAGCAACACTCAAAAAGTATGGAGAAACTCAAAATAAGAAAGTCAACTCAAAAGTCAAAGGTTTCAATTAAAATGAAGACCTAAGATGCTCAAAGCTTGAAGATCAAGGAAGACAAATGAAGATAGAAGCTCACATAGTTAGAAATGTAGTTTTAAGTATGAAAACTTAGAAAATGAAGTCTATTGAGCTCTCTTGTCAAGAAATGCACTTAAGGTTCACTAAAACATGCATTAAATGAACATACCCAATCCAATCATGTATACAAGACCACACACACATGAAATATGGTTATACATAGGACAAGCATATTTATTCATGTGTTAGAATATGTTAGGAATCATTTAGATATGAATTGTATCAGAAATTGCATGAATTAGTGATTTTGTTCTACAACTTACCCGAGTAATATATGACATTTAATCGAGTGAATGATTTACTCCATAACTATTAATTACTCAAGTAAATGCTGATGAACAATTTATCCAAGTAAGTTTTTGATAATGCATTAATGATCTAATTTTGAGTCCAATGGTCATAAACTACTATAATCTTCCTTGGACTTCTATATAAACACATTTCTAAGGTTCCTAGGCAGAAAATAATAGAAATTAACATAAAAAACAACCAGTTTCAGATTTTACATGATTTTAAGCATATTTTTCAGATATTGAGAAAAAAGCACAATAATTCACCATTCTTCTTCGTTTCTTCTTTGATTTTTTTATAGGATTGTAGAAAGGTTGTTTTACATCTGTTTTGGTTCGATTTGTTGTTGCAATTCATATTTGTGGAGTGGAGTGATCCTATTAGTGTATATAGGTTGAGAAAGTACCAAGACTATTTAGGATTCTTGTAAAATTTCATTATATATCGATTTCTCAGGCACCAGTTGGAAGTTGAGTTTAGTGGACGAGCTACATCAGTTTGGATGTAGCCCTCGTGTGGTTTGAGGAAGAACAAGGATAAATCTTTGTATTTGATCTTCTAAACTTTTATTTCTTTAATTTTCTCATTTGATTCTTTGTTTGCATCTTTTTCACCTCTAATACAATTATGTTTTTAGGTTAAAAAAGATTTGATTTCTGTTATTGAACTCATTTTTTTTAAGAAAAAGGCCTTAGAGGAGTAGGTTTCTTACAAAAAAAGTAACCATAATTTGTAAAGAAAAGATGGCTAATGCATAAGCACAAGAAGGGGTCTGAATTGTGCAGTAACTTGTTTCACAAGAAATCAATGAAAATCTACCCCTTTAACAAGAAAATCAACCAAAATGAAATAGAACAGAAATCAATATTCCCCATATGTAAAAAATGAATTAAAACATACCAAATGTCTTCCAATAACAGAGATTACGCAACAGTTTTGAAAAAGATGAAGGGAAAGGAAGAATCACACCAAGATTTATCATGTTCACTCTCTAATCACTTGAGAGCTACGTCCAATCTGATTTCGTCAATTCCACTATGTTCTAGCTTCCAACCGGTGCTAGAAAAACCATTTTATAAAGAGTTTTTACAAGTCTATGACCAACACCTTTGATGACACTCAACCTATCACCTATAGGCTCTCTCAAAACAATCAAAAACT